TGAGATAGAGAGGAAGATTCTTGATATTGACAGAGTCTAAAATTTTTAAAGATTCAAGGAGTAGGGAAGTGAGAAGGGTAGGGGAAAGGAAAGAAGGGAAAATAAAAAAAATATAAGAAAGGAAATAATGGAAACAGAGTCTTTGTAAATAGGGAAGGGTGGAGGGGGTGAAGGGAGGACAGAGGAATGGGGAAAAAATAAGATTGGAGAAACACCATGTAAAGGTACAAGGTCTTAATGATGAATGTAACTGTACTGTATACCTAAAATGTACCAATATACTTAATGAAAAAAAAGATTCAAATTTTTGATTATAGAATATTTGAACAAGAAAGGAGCCTTTCAATCATGAAAATTGCTCTGTTTTATAAAAAAGAATCCTGAGGACTAGAGAAGTCAAATTCCTCACTCAAGGTCCCAAATCTAACAATTAAAATCACTTTGTTTTTTATGATCCCTGCAATTAGAAGGCTGACCCTGAAGACAGGCTCCGTGGTTTCAAATCTTGACTATGCCATCCATTAGCTCTGCAACTTCTGAGCAAATTACTTAACCTCTCTATTCCAAGTTTCACCCTTTCTCAACTTTAGTTTTTCAAGTAATGAGGGACAAGAATTTCACAGCCTTGAATCAAAGATTAAATAAGCTAGTAAAGTAAGACACTTGACAATCATACTTCACACTTGAGAAACATTCCGTCCCCCCCAAATGTTGTTATGTATTTTCATTTTAATGCACAATTTAACTCCCAGTCTGCTCCTATGATCCTAAAATTACAGGCTTTCAAACATATGCTCAAATTTTAAAAAACCTAGATAGACTTGCTAGAGCTGTGTGGTTGGACCTTTACTTGATGATCAGAATCGAACTCTCAAATAAAAAGGAAATGGCCAGTGAGTGATTGGAGTCTGAAATACAAGATTTCAATTTCTTGTTTGCTTGTAGTCTAACATGTTTTCTCAAACTACAAGAGAAAACTTGCCTTCTACCATCTGTGTTTTACTGAGTTGATCAGAGCAGATTTTAATGTCCAATTTAAGGGTGATATTTGGTAGCTCTTGCCTCCCTTCACTTTGGCTGTTCCTGTGTACTTCTAGTTAGTCCTGTGTGTGTGTGTGTGTGTGTGTGTGTGTGTGTGTGTGTGTACATTTGAGGAGGAGCTTGGCAGAAAAGTTAAAAGAGAAGGGTTAAAGGATTTAATATACAATAAATGAAAACCATAGTAGATTAAGGGTACAATCTAGAAAATGATAATGGTATATCATCAGTTTCACACATACCACATAGTCCATGACGTGAGAAAAAAATCTTTCCCAATTGATTCAATAATATCATTGCCTAAAAAGGTTTGCTCTTATATTTTTTTCTATATTAGAATTATTCTTTACAGTTTTTGCATTCACTGCTCAAAGCCATTCTTTTTAAAAAGGTTATTATTTTTCTTATGGAAACTTGAAAACAATGACACCAAAAATTTATACATGCTAATGGGGTAAAATGTGCTGTTTCAATATATGTTTGTAAGTCTTAAGATTAATGAGATTCTTAACTATAAATACTCATTTCCTTTCTTTCAATTGAGAAAATATAAACTGAAGGAAGTGAAGCAGAAAGTACTCGATGTCATGATATTCTCTGAAATGGACAATATTAAAAATAATCTGGAATTATATTCCACTTACAGTAACACAGGAAAAGAACAAAAGATAACAGAACATTGTTCTCAAATCCATTAATTTAATGTTTAATTATCATATAATTTGCCTAGCCATGAAATGGGTAATTATGATGAATAAAAATACATAAATGACCAATGTTTTAGTAGTGAATTTAACATAGTCTTTAAAATATTTGAATATACTCATCCATTCTTATTTTTTAATTTCAGTGAAAATTTAAAATCTTACTTCCTATCAACATAACAAAGCATGCTTAATTTAAAATAATGTCTTCTTTTTCAAGAACTTTCAATTCTCATACTGCCTAACAAAATCAAAGTATGTTACATAGAAGTAAGAGCTAAACATTCAGGTTGTGTCTCTATGAAACTCTCAGTCTTTTAAAATGTTCCTCTTTATTTCCACTTTTCTTAGAGTTATTCCCAATTCATTTATTTCAACCCTTTATCATAAAGTACAAGCTAAAATAAACCTTAAGTCTTGTTGGTTGCTTTCATTAAAAGAAGAGAAAAAGAAAGAATAAGAAAATCCAGGATTAGCATAGTCCAACTCTCAAGGGTTTCTAATTTCCCATTATATCTCTAACGCTCATATGAAAAGATACTGTGTATTTTAGTACAGAATATTTTAAAAGTTTAGCTATATATTCCAACTTTCAATGGTTTCTATTTTTCTATCATATCTCTCACACCATTGTGAAAAGATGGTGGGTATTTTATTTATTTATTTATTTATTTATTTATTTATTTATTTATTTATTTATTTATTTATTGGTGGGGACTGGGGGTAGAACTCAAGTCCTTGTGCTTGTGAGGTAGGCAGCAGAACCATTGAGGTAAATCCCCAGCCCAATGAGTATTTTAATACAACATATTTTAAGAGGTTTATCTGTTGGAAGCATTTTTTTTTAACTGTGCTTATATCATGGTTCAGAGCATGAACAGATTGTATTATTGAATCCTTTGTAGAAAAAGCCCAGTACTGTTAAAATTATATTCAATTCTTTTTCTAAGTTTATGTATGAATTTAGTTGAACAACTGTTGGTCACACAGAGCTTTTGTGGTGGTGGTGGTGGTTTTGGTTTATATGCAACTTCGCTATTCAACTCACTTTAAAAAATGACTGCAGAGTTGAGGATATGGTCATTGGTAGGGCATTTCCTTCACAAGAGCAAGTCCTTGGATTCAGAAAAACAAGGTGGAAAAGTGGGTGTAAATATGGCAAACAAATTTTTATTTCAGTGTCAGGGATCAAACCTAACAATGGTGCTTGCAACTGCTCTCTCTACAGAGATACGCCTTCTTCTCCAACCAACAGAATTATGCATTTTTTAGAAATTCTGAAAGCCTAGTATCCTGTACAATAAAGTAAATCAATGGCAAAAGCACTGTTGGCTCTTTTAGCATTCAGTCTTCTATTTTTATAAAGCAACTATGCATTTGCTTATAAATGATTGAAAAGGGAAATATGATCATTTATCTGCTTGAAACATTTTGTTAAGTAACTCATTGTCTAATCTGTCCATTTGCTTTTGCATAAATCGGTCATGATTTGTATATGTACCTAATATTCTAGCCCCAAAGTGTCTGTAAATAGTATGTTTTAAGATGCTTTGTGTTACCATGTATGTAAAAGAATAGTGAATCTCTTAAAATCATCAGAAAATACTCATTTATATGCTTTAAATGTTAAAACTTACATTTGTTTTTCCAGTACAACAAAGATATTATTTGAAAATGTTATTTTAAGCAATCAGAAACATTTAAAATGACATGTTAAGTAAGCTATGTAAAGGAGGGGTAGTTTCAGCTATAAAAGAAAAATAAAATTGTCACACTTTTTATTCCATTTAGCAGGCCATAAACACTTATTTCTTCCCGATCTAATATTTTAAAAACGGAAAGAAAAAATTTTAAACCTCAGTATGTTAAAATAAAATGGTTTACTGGAAATGAAATGGAAGACAATTCAGTAGTCTTTATAGCTACAAAAAGATAAAATCCGAATGGATTTGTCTTTTAATTATTCAGGATGTCTAAATTTCTGCAGCCCATTATTTGTATGTTTGATCGGTGGAATAAAAATGACATTTTGCTCACATATGTGTGGCTGTTCTCTAGGTCGTGGATTCTAGAAATGCAACAGGCGTTTGCCTCTGAACTCTAGCAACTAGAAAACTGCTACCCGCGCTGGCTGGCGACAGGCAATACAGAAGGTGGCAGTTAGGATTCCCAATCATTTTGCCGGAGCTTTCAGAAAAGAGGGAGGAAAAACGAGAGCATGTGGAGCTCTTTGAAATGAAGGGATTTCGCTCTGCTCCGCTTGCCCCAGCCTCTCCTTGGGCTGTTGAACCAAGCTCTGTGGGGACGCTTAGGTTTCTGGGGTAAAGCAAAGCATTATAACTCAACCCATTGTGCTTCAACCTAAATGTTCAAGAAGAGGCGAGACAAATTCATCAACGCTCTAACGTGGGAACAATACAGGACTCCCCAGAAGCAGGCTCGGGCTTCCCCTATTTGCGAGCGAGG